AGATGTGCTTTGTGTTTGGCTATAGTAAGGTATTTGCCCAAGATTTGGTTGTATTTGTAAAGAGAAATTACAACATTATGAAGCCGGTATTCAGTAGTTGGAATAATAACAGTATTGATGATATAAGTGATTTGTTTATCAGTTATGTTTTTAGTGCTAGCGATATTGGCTAATTGGATGGCTTTATCTTGGATGAGTTTGATTTGTGAGGACTGTTTGTTGTTGAGGATAAACCAGCATTCCAGGAATTTGAAGGGCTGATGGGGTGGAATAGATTGCAGGGAAGAGTTGAGAAATAAGAGGTTAGAAGAGGACTCCTTAGTAATAAATATAGATTTGGTGAGATTGACTTGGATGTCAGCTATTAAATAAAAGGAGGAAGTGATTTGAATAATTTCTTCAAGTTGTGTTTTGGATTGAGCAATCCATAGTGTGTCATCCATATAAGCAAGGACTGAAATAGATGTATTAAGGTGATAAGTAGAAGGGTGAATAAGGCTAGTTTGATAAGAAATAGAAAGTGTATATCCAGAAAAATGTGAAGATATATTGGAGATGAGAGGGTCATAGTAGATCTTCCAAAAGAGTGGGGTAATAGTTTCACCTTGATCGATACTATTTTTAACTGAGTAAAAATTGGTAAGACCAATTTAATTTATTTTAATAAAATTTAATTTAATTTAATTTAATTTAATTTATAAGATTTAGCATTTATTACTGGTGTAAAATCACCAGTCCTAAGATTTGTTAAAGTTAAAGTTAGAAATTAGAAAATTATTGTTTTTTTTATATACCGTATTCCTCTAAAAATAAGCACCCCTTTTTTGCTATAAGAGTGAGTGCTTATTTTCGGGTATAAACTCAACTAATAATTTGAATAATTTAATATTTAGTTACTTATTTCTATTATATAAGAGGTGCTTATTTTCGGGTATATATGAATTGTAGGGGTGCTTACTTTCGGGTGGTGTTTATTTTTGGAGGAATATATATAACTACTATAAGGGCCTGATAGAGCCTGATCTTCTTGTAAAGTTTTTAGGAGTCCTGAATATTTTTATTTAGAGAACCCGATCCTGTTTACTTAGTACATTTTTGAGATATAGCAATACTGGTAATATCACCAGTAGTGATAAATAGCAAAATCCTAATTTATTATTTTTAATCTTGTTTAATTTATTATACTTTATTTTTAATTTTAGTTTATTTTTTTTAATCATGTTTAATTTATATTACTTTATTTTTAAATTTATTTTTAATTTAATTTAATTTAATATTTTTTAAATTATATTTAACTTAATTATTTTTATTTAATTTTTTAATTTGTTTTTTTTAAATTTAATTTTATTTGTTTTTTTAAAAAAATTATATTAAATTAATTATTTTTTTTTGTTGTGTTTAATTTATTCAGTAATTATAAAATGTATCTATTGTGATTATCACCATAGGTTACACAAAATATTTATTACTATAAGTTTATGTTATCTATAACTATATAATAAAAAAATTGTGTATAACGATAACGTTTAGATTACCTGTATAAATAGAATTTAAATTGTATAACTGTAGATTATAAGAATCTTATTGGCTTACTTATGATAATTTGACGCAAAGAATAACACGCTACTTCAAAGAATATTACGTGCTGTTTTTTTTTATAAACAAAAAAATTCATGTATATGATATCACAAGTATACTTTTTCGATTTTACCTAGAGAAACTCCAGATGCCAGATATACCTGTAGCCAAAATATTTCGACCATTTTGGCACCTTGACATATGCTTAAAGTAAAGTTTTTAAAATAAGCTTTCTATATATTACGCCAGATTTGCATAAACTTATGCTTAGACTTTAAAATTTCTGTTATATTAAATACGAATTGCCAAAAATTCTAAAGTCTCTAAAAAAGCAGGCCTTGTATAAGTTTTTGTGAATCTGGCTTAACGTATATGAAGCTGAATTCTACCACCTTTACAAAATTATTGATAACTTTATTTTAAGCATTTTGGCTACAGGAATAATGCCGGTGGCATGCTTTATTTTCTATTATTACATTAATCATTTACTTTACTTACTATGAATTTTTTTTTTCTAGATTTGACCTTACTTTTATAGCCCTATTTACCACTTTTATTGTTCTATCAAGTTTGTTTAATTGCTGCCTCCAATGCATAGTTGGGGATTAACAGGCATTTTTTATAACTTTAACCACATACTCCATTATCAGAATAATGAGTAAGTTTTGCAACAAATTTTTTACAGTATGTAACTAATATAACTAACTTCCTTTTAATCACTTGCCGGCGTGTCCTTATCTACATACAGTATGCCACTAGAATAACATGCAAGTCCTGTAACAGAATTTTATCGTAATTCATGATAAAATCATGAGAATTCTAATACAATTTATCTTACCTTTGGCCACATACTGTATGTCAATGGAATAGTAAGTTCTGTATCAAAATTTTTTCAGTAATTCACGATAAAAATTATCATAATCTAATTATCACTTCACTCATAATATTTATTACTAAATAGCGAGTAAGTTCGTATTTGAATTCTTTTATGATAAAACTACGATAATTTCATTGCACGTACTGTTGACAGAATAGCGAGTAAATTCTGCAACATAATTTTTACATTAACTCACAGTAGAAATCATTATAATTCTGATGCAACTAACATATGCTTAGCCATGCTACATCACCAAAATAATGAGTAAGTTTTGTAACAAAATTGTTTTTTAGAATTTTCTAAATTAATAAAATTATGATAATCCGATGCAAATTAACATATTCTTACCTATGTTCTATGCACCATTGGAAGGACAAGTAAGTTCGGTAATAGAATTTTTTATCAGAACATTAATTCCAATACATACTAACTATCTATAACTATTATGTACTGTGTATTACTGCGATATCACAAGTTACACAGATCAGCATTATAGTTTTTTTTATTTATTTTATTTTATTTTACTTATTTTTTTTTTCAATACAATACTATTTCTTTTTTTTGTAGTGTTATCTTCTTCGATACTACCATTTTGCTGAAATTATCGTTTACTGAAGCTGTCGTTTATTGGGGCCATCGTTTTGTTGAAGTCGTTGTTTTGTTGAAGTCATCGTTCTATTAGAGTTGTTGTTTCATTGAAGTCATCGTTTTATTGGATTCATCGTTTTGTTGGAGCATCATTTGCTAGACCCTAATTATTCCATCATATGTTGGAGCCGTCGTTAGCTGGAACTGTTACTCGTGGTGGCGTCGCTTCGATTGTGTCACTGTTCATAAGTGTTTTCACTCTTTTGCTATAGTTTGTTAACTTCATTTCATTTTTTGTAACTGTTTTCATTCTCCAGTATCACACTTGCTGGTGTTGTCATTCATCATATTGGTTCTTTTGCGATTAATGGATGATAATCGGTAGTGAGTTTTTATGTTGTGGCTGAAGTTGACAACCGACTGAGGTTGCAACTTCAGTAGACTAAAGTTACACCCGCCTAAAATTGATAACTAATGCGTGCAAAATTATTTAATTTCAGAGACTAATTTCAGTTAAGTGCAACTTCAGTCAATTGAAATTGCGTTTTCAGTTGGGTGTTAATTTTGATGCGAATATAAACATTGGTTTTTGTTGGTTAATAGAGAATTAAATGGTAGAACATAATTAGAATTAGCTATATTTAGATGTTAGAGTGAGATTACATAAAGTTAAAGTTAGATTAGCTTAGATATCAGAATATGATTATAGAAGGTAAGTTTAAAATATTATATAGAAAGTAGGTTTAACATTAACTTGATGTTGAGTTAGAATTACACGAAGTTGGTATTAGACAGAATTGATAGTGTAAGAGTGAATTGCTCAGGGTTAGAGCTAGCATATTATATGTATATAAATAAATAACAATTCTTGAATATGTGCTAGATTTATAGCATAGACAAAATTCGTAAAGTTTAGTTTATGTTCGGATTAGTAATGCCTGACAAAACTTATGTGACCTGACAAGACATAATAGTGACGAAACTATGATGAAACTTATGGTTTTATCAGGTGAAATAGTTTCATCAAGCATCTATAGTTAGGATTAGTGTATATATAAATTTAGGCATTAGTGACATATATGGGTTTTTGCCTTAAAAATCACGTTATTGAGACATATATAGTAAATTATATATTTCATAGTGATTTTCAAGATATAGTAAATCGTTCAAAAATAAAGATAGCTTCTTTATGCTGATTTTTGAAAAATAAGCAATTCTTGATAAAACGAAGCTTTAATTTTCTGATTATTTTGAAATTCAAGTTGTAGTTCAGATGCTAAAAATAAATTCAATTATTCAATTTAAAATTATTTTTGTAATTTTATTGGTCGATATGCAAATCATACACCATATAATCAACTTTTGATATCACAGGTTGAGATGTTTAGCAAAATCTAACTGTTTTGTAACAAATTTTTTTACATATATACATACGTACATACTCCTGATACAAACTAACTTATCCTTAACTATACAAATATTCAGATAATTATCCGGATATCAATAGTAAAATGGATATAAATGAATAAAAGAATAATAGGTAGAAACTCTACTATATACTGTTTATTATTGAAATGACAACTAATAGAATTTTTTATTATAAAATACAATAAAAATTATTATAATTTTAATGCAAACTAATTTATTCTTATCTACCTACTATTTGTTAGAATAATGAGCAAGTTCTATAAATAAATTTTTTATAGTAATTTATGATAAAAATCATAATTTTACTACAAACTCTACATATTATATATTGAATAGATTTGTAACGAAATTGTTTATAGTAATCATAATAGAAATTATAATATTTCAATAAACTAACTCGCTTTTTTATTACCAGAATAGCTAATAAGTTCTATAGCTAAATTTTTAATTATAGCTCATAAGAAAACTGCCGCTAATTTATTTTAATAAACTAAATCAACCTTAATTATATATTGTATATTTCTAGAATAACAAGTAAGTTTTTGATCTGTGGGTCGATAGCATAGGGTTATGCTCCCAGGTTGCAAATCAGAAGGTTGCCGGTTTAATTCCTCCCAGCGGTGAAATAATGAAAACCCAAATATAGAAGTGAAACACCGTGGGGTACAGGGAACTCGGGATATCTACAGATAGATGTATTCAGGAAATAGTTATTCCGAGAAGTTATAGCTGTGAAACGAGGCGTGTTAGAACCCTGATTTGGAATAATCTAAGTCATGAAACATAATGTGAGGCTGAGTCTGATGAAGATACTACAAGAACTCGTGGCAACACCGGAATGGCTAGTAAAATCCCAGTACAATAGAAAGGTAATTAGACCTCTCCAGAGTGACGTGCAGGCGGTCAGATCTAGGCCCTAATAAGGGAACCGGAGAATGTCGGGCAACGGAATTCTAGGTGGATAACACATAATACCTGTATGGAATTATGAAGGTCCTGTAATACTAAGTAGCGTGCGTACTAGAGTCAACTATATAATAGCTAGAACCAAAGTCACGGTGAGACTTGCTGAAGATGTAAAAAAAAAAATAAAAAAAAAATAACAAGTAAGTTTTTTAACAAACTTTTTTTATAGTAACTTATGATAAGTTTAATACAAACTAATTATTTTTATCTGCATATTGTAATAATAGAGCTACTGTTTAGTACTGTATATAGTACTTATTTAAGAATTTTATTTTTTAAATTGATAGTATTTATGGATACTATTTGAAGAACTAGACACAATATATAGGAGATATATTATATTAAATATAGTTATACTCTTGATATTATTCAAGAAATAAGTTAGATAGGTGATAAATATACCTAGATCTTAATATACAATGCTAAACAATAATAATAAAAATCATAACAATTATAATACATATTAGTTTGTCTTATAGTCTATAATAAATAATATTTAAATTTTGAAATTGTTAAAAGTTTTTTACTAATTCATTATTTATAATATATTAAAATTTTTATAAATAAAATAAAAGTTATAATAAATTTTTAAAAAATAATTTAAATTGTAATATATTTTATTCTCATGCATTATTGCACGGGTTTTCAACTAGTATTATATATATTTAATATTTACATAATATTTATTGATTGATCGATCAATGCTTATTAAATATTTGATCAATTTTTTTTTTACTTATTTTAGCTTCGATTAGCTTCGATTTTTACTCTTTTAGCTTCAATTTTTACTCACCTTGGCTTCAATTTTTGCTTTACTCAGTATTCTTGCCATATTCTTTGCTTTGTTATATTTTTGTTCAACCTTTTACCTTGCACTTCTTATATTTTTTTCAGTTTTTCACTATGCTATTTTTTTTTTATTTTGAGTTATGTTTTATGACCTTTGCAGTTTTTTTTGATTACTTACTCATAGATTATCTTTTTTTTCATGTTGTTTTTACACTATAGATTGCCTTTTTAAATTATATTTATTATAGATTATGTTTTTTCTTTTTTTGTTTACAATTTTTATACTTATCTGTCTTTTTAGTTGTTTTTTTCTTTAGATCATATTTTTTTTGTGTTGCACTTTCCTGTGATATATTGTCTTATATCAGTTTTATCTTTTTAGTCTTTATTAAATATAGATGATTCATCTTTGATATCAATGATTATATTTACTTTATGAGCAATGATGAGGCTTCTATAGATACAAACAATAACTAACACAGGTTGAATGAAGGCAAATTGGGAACTGCACAATTAGTTAAAAACCGAAGACAAATCAGGTTTCAATATGTCTCTAGTTTTTTATTTTTAAATCAGTTACATATCGGGCACCTGATACAACTATGAACGTTACAATAAATTATATCAACAAAGCTTAATTATATTGGGTTGTAATCATTAACTTTATAGATAATTCTATAGAGTTATCAGCACATCTATATGTCACTGGAATTTTACTGATATCATAAGCACAAACTGGTAAAATTTATAACAGTTATCAGCAAGCCTATATGTCACTGGTATTTTACTAATAAATAAATTGACTATAAGCACAAACTGGTAAAATTTATTATAGTTATTAGCAATTCTATATGTTTCTGGAATTTTACTGAAATTTTACTGATAAATAAATTGAATATAAGCAAAATCCGGTAAAATTTATAATAATTATCAGCAAACCTAATAAATAAATTGACTATAAGTACAAACCTGTAAAATTTATATTAGTTATTTGCAATCCTATATTTCTCTAGAATTTTACTAAAATCTTACTGATTAATAATTTGACTATAAGCAAAATCTGGTAAAATTTATAATGGTTATTAGCAAACTTATAAGTCACCAGAATTTTCTAATTAATAAATTGATTATAAGCAAAATCTGGTAAAATTTATAGTAGTTATCAGCAAACCTATATATCTCCAGAATTTTACTAATTAATAAATTGATTATAAGCAAAATCTGGTAAAATTTATATTAGATATTGGCAAACCTATATGTCACTGGAATTTTGTTGATTAATAAATTAACTATAAACAAAATCTGATAAAATTTATATTAGTTATTAGCAAACCTATATGTCACTGGAATTTTATTGATTAATAAATTAACTATTAGACAATCAGGTAAAATTTATATTAGTTATCAGTAATTCTATATATCTCTAAAATTTTTTAATAAATAAATTAACTATTTATATTAGTTATCAGCAGTCCTATATGTATTTCTAATTGTTTTAATAAATATATAGGATTAGTTTTTACAGTATGGTGGACTAAAGAAGCTTCATCATCTTTACTAATCGCTAAAAGTAGCAATAGCACAATCGGTTTATATATTATATATTATAACATCTTCTATTTTAATTATAAACTTTATAATATGTACATAAAATTATTAGGTTTAGCAATATAAGTATATATATTAAATATGCAATTTCCTATATACAGGAATAACCGACATATATTCTTTTGGTTTCTTTTTCCAACTATAATAGTGCTAGAAATAAATTTACCTAAAATATTATATATAGAGATTATGCAATCCCAACTTAAGTTATGGAAGTTTTGATTCCATAACTCAATATTATAAATATTATCTATTTGACAATGAAATCTTATTTTTGAATTTTCTGCTTTGTATCAACATACAAAAGCCAAAATATGTTTTTTTGGTCCTTTAGGTAGAAGTACTTCATGTTTGAAATATTATTGAATGGGACCAGGAAATATATCAGTAGAATTGTTGTCCAATATGAATTTAGCGAGTATTTTAGCTGAAGGTTCGTGTCTTTTAGAAAAAGTCGACCCAAAAATTTCAGCATCAATATTTACTTTTCCATATATTGTAACCTATTTTACTACAAAGAATGGAGGAACATTTGTTGCTTTAAATTCAGAACAGTATGATTGAATGCTAGTTTATACTCAATT